TGTACACTTCCGTTTAGTACATAAACCCCGTTAATACATAACATTTCTCAAGTCCCAGAGATTATGTATTAACGAGGGACGACCTGTACATGTACCGGTACATTGTACAATTTGTACTTCGAAGTAGTTTCCGAACTTACTTTCAACTCGCATCGTTCTTCATTTGCTTGATGATTTGGACAGTCAGAGTCACCGCTTGAAGTTATTCTCTTCTCGTTCCAGAGCTACACAATGTTTCAAAGTATTAGCCAGTGATCCCTTTATACAACATATATGGCATAACACTGCGTAATAATGCCGATGTACTGGGTGTCTAAAGGCAGTACATGTATACAGTGTATTTACATGTACTAAAAAATGTATTTAAAAAAAATCCGCCCGCCCGTAAAAAAAATGTCCATGTTAAGGGCCTGGTCAGACTGCGGCAAATTTTGGTTGCCTGACGAAAACAGAACAGCGTCCAGAATTTGAATCGCGATCACACTACACATGTTGGGAGAGTGAAAATTCAAACCGTTTCGAGCGTCAAGTGGTAATCTCCACGAACAACGTCAAATTCCTTCACCTTGGGGATCACCAACACCTTCAGTGCAATCCTTGCAACCATCCTTATGAGTTTTGTTGTTCTCCGTGGCCAATTAGCTCCTCGATATCGAGATGAAAAAATCAGTGATTATCAGCGTCAATGGCGTATCAGCGTCAAATCCTGTTTGGAGCGGAAAAGCGTGGCCCGTTCTTGCTTTTTTTTGGAGCGTCAACTCTCGCTTTTGCCGCTCTGGCGGCAAGTTACTATGGAGATTCGGATTATAATCCTAGGATTATTTCGATTTTGCCGCAGTCTGACCAGGCCCTTAGGGCCTGGTCAGACTGCGGCAACTTTTGGTTGCCTGACGAAAAAAGAACAGCGTCCAGAATTTGAATCGCGATCACACTACACATGTGGGGAGAATGAAAATTCAAACTTCATTTCGAGCGTCAAGTGGTTATCTCCACGAACGACGTCAAATTCCTTCACCTTGGGATCGCCAACACCTTCAGTGCAATCCTTGCAACCATCCTTATGAGTTTTGTTGTTGTCCGTGGCCAATTAGCTCCTCGATATCGAGATGAAAAAATCAGTAATTATCAGCGTCAATGGCGTATCAGCGTCAAATCCTGTTTGGAGCGGAAAAGCGTGGCCCGTTCTTGCTTTTTTTTTGGAGCGTCAACTCTCGCTTTTGCCGCTCTGGCGGCAAGTTACTATGGAGATTCGGATTATAATCCTAGGATTATTTCGATTTTGCCGCAGTCTGACCAGGCCCTAAGGGCCTGGTCAGACTGCGGCAAAATCTGCGGCAAAATCGAAATAATCCTAGGATTATAATCCGAATCTCCATAGTAACTTGCCGCCAGAGCGGCAAAAGCGAGAGTTGACGCTCCAAAAAAAAAGCAAGAACGGACCACGCTTTTCCGCTCCAAACAGGATTTGACGCTGATACGCCATTGACGCTGATAATCACTGATTTTTTCATCTCGATATCGAGGAGCTAATTGGCCACGGACAACAACAAAACTCATAAGGATGGTTGCAAGGATTGCACTGAAGGTGTTGGCGATCCCAAGGTGAAGGAATTTGACGTCGTTCGTGGAGATTACCACTTGACGCTCGAAATGAAGTTTGAATTATTTTCATTCTCCCCACATGTGTAGTGTGATCGCGATTCAAATTCTGGACGCTGTTCTTTTTTCGTCACGCAACCAAAAGTTGCCGCAGTCTGACCAGGCCCTTAGTCGAACCACACACCTTCTTTAGTTTGGCCTAAAATGTAGGTTTGCAGCGTACGGCAAACCGTAGTTATCGCGGACAACCGAGCAGCAGGCAAAAGCCACGCGCGTGGCTAGGCGCGCAACAATGCCATGGGGGTGTCTGGCATGCAATGGCAGGCAACCGTACTAGTAGAAAGCCCAGGTTGCACCAGGAGCACTAGTACGCCCACAGGCGAGACTACCCCATATTTGCATGAAGGTTGTAGCGCAAGTAGTATTAACGCAAGGATTACGGCAGACAGGGCGCGGGCATGGCGCCCAGTCTCTATATTAGGAAGCAGGTCCTTTCGTGGCACGAAAGGGCTCCAGCCGCGGCGCGTACTAAGTCTCAGCCAACGCATAGTAGTATTAGCAAGAGTACATAACCCCCCGGGGTTATGTACTCTTGGTATTAGTACTAACCGGTTATAACCGAGCATGCAAGATAAAACTGCAACAAGGCGGTACGGGGTAAGGACTAGTACAGTGCCAGGCAGAGACAGGCGGTATGGCGGAGAAATGCATATCACGTATGGAAAAGGCGAAGTCCCCGGGGGCTATCGGACCCACGATAACAGACACCACCATGCTTATATGGAAAATAAGGCGCGAGAGCTCACTAGGTAAGGTGGGCCGCGGGCAGGAAGACAGAAAAGAGAGGCCCAGCACGGGCCGTATAAGCGCGTGGCATACGCAAATGGTGTAAGACGTACTCACGAAGGCCACCACGCGAGAATGCGGCAGCATGGCCTGTGTACGAGAGTACGATGCCGGGGCAACGCAGGGCGGACCAAGCTGTGGACTGTGGTGGTGTTACACAGCCTACAGGCACGAGGCACCTCAGCAGTTGGAGGTGGCGATCGCAGTGTCAGCATCAGTTCTGGCAGCTAGCAGCAGCAGATGGGCTTGATTTTTTTTTCAATACTATCAACGAGGAGCAGCAGGCAACCCTCATTTCACAATGGTGATTGCATAATCACATGGCAAAACAACAAAAATGCAACCCCATTCTACAGTGCTATGATGTGTGTGTCTCGGGGGGAGGGGCGATAAGCAGTTTTTATTGCTATAATGTACTCTTGCTACAACCTTCATGCAAATATGGGGTAGTCTCGCCTGTGGGCGTACTAGTGCTCCTGGTGCAACCTGGGCTTTCTACTAGTACGGTCGGTTGCCCGCCATTGCATGCCAGACACCCCCATTGTTGCGCGCCTAGTCACGCGCGTGGCTTTTGCCTGCTGCTCGGTTGTCCGCGATAACTACGGTTTGCCGTACGCTGCAAACCTACATTTTAATATCCCGATGACGAGGTCCATGGACTAGAACACAATAACTTTTTTTAGAAAACTGCCATAAAGCAGTTTTTATTGCTATAATGTACTCTTGCTACAACCTTCATGCAAATATGGGGTAGTCTCGCCTGTGGGCGTACTAGTGCTCCTGGTGCAACCTGGGCTTTCTACTAGTACGGTCGGTTGCCCGCCATTGCATGCCAGACACCCCCATTGTTGCGCGTCTAGCCACGCGCGTGGCTTTTGCCTGCTGCTCGGTTGTCCGCGATAACTACGGTTTGCCGTACGCTGCAAACCTACATTTTAATATCCCGATGACAAGTAGACTTCACTATTTTAAACTCTAGACGGTACTTTGCTTGTACAAGAGTGTTTGCAAGTCAAACAAGAGCGCCGAGAACGAAGTAGAGAGAGGTAGGAGAAAGAGAATCGGTTCGTCTTGCAGCGTCATGGCCTTCCATGTAACTACTGGCGGTGGAAAGAGCCTGATCGCTGGGGCCATCTTGCTCGTACTGTTCACCGCTGTAATAACGAGGTCATTCTTAGCAGCTCCGTGTGGTTTAGAGAATCAGAGGCGGCCACCGGCACCGGCTGCACTGCTTGGCGTAGTGAAGGTGGCTGCGCAAGAAAGAAACAGCTTCTGGGCCAGCACAGTCCGCGATACGTTTCCCAGCATCGCAATGCCAGCGACTCGGACTGAGTGGATAGAGGCGATGCGAGCCTCATTGTTTCTGCAGGGGTTGACACCCACCACGTCCTGTCTTCAAACACGATACGGCATACTGGGAGATGGCGGGAAAACCCTCTGCAACGTCCAGCAATTCCTGACCAACTCGGAGTGCCTTGTCTACAGTGTCGGCGTTCAGAACACGTGTGAGGTGGAGATGCAGCTGCACCGAGATTTCCCACAGTGCACGATTCTCATGTTTGATCCGACGTCCAAGAAGTTCTTCAAAACAGCCCATTGCTGTAAAGTCAACAACATGCAATGTATATCAAAGGCTCTGGGCGGAGGAGATGGAGTGGCAGAGAAAGACAAGGTCGGTATGGCGGGAGCCACGCTGACGGAGCTCATGAAACAGCATGGTCACGAGGGACGGACACTCAATCTACTCAAGATGGACATTGAAGGCAGTGAGTACAACGCATTGGAATACTACATGAATAGCGCACAGACTGCTTTTCCTCGTGTTCATCTGCTGCTGATGGAGATTCACAACTTAGCAGACTCGTCTATTCGTGAACGCCTGAAGAAACTAATCGTGTGGCTGGAAAGTTTAGGTCTCAGTGTGTATTACGTTGAGCGCAATCCTTATTTTCCAATGACTGGTGCTGAAATTGCACTTGTCAATCGATCGCTGTTAGTACGTGTGTAGCTGCAGACTGCCAGGCTATAATTATGCTATATCGGCGGAAGTGTTTCGAACTACCCAACGCGTTAACGTCTTTCTGCGTGGTTCCCTCGTGCAAGACCATCGCCATGCGCATAATCATGCGGTCAAGGATGCAAGACATTTCACCATGGAGTTGTAAAATGCCCGGTATTTTACGACGCAGGTTGACGCCTCGATACGTGATCAGAACTCCTCATTAATTTTGTATTCGTCATTATTTATCGAGTCGACCCAAGGGATAGCCCAGGCACCACTAACTATTCCGACACTGAGTTGGTATTCGATGAATAGGAAGACGATTCTATGTACTGTACTGTTGATCGCCCACTTAGAAGATTATCTTAGACACTTGGTAGAAGCACATTGGTATTGAGTAGAACTAGAAGTATATATTTCCTATTTGATTTTCATTGCATTGATTGTTTTGCACAGATCTACATCTACACACAAAAGATATAACGGAGGTTTACAGATTTGTCGCAACTCAGAGTTTCATCAGGTTTCATCAGGTTTCAGCAGGTTTCAGCAGGTTTCAGCAGACGGCTATAGTCTATAGTCGCAACTGAGGATTGCATTGAGCAAGAAACTCTGAGTGGCGACAACTCTGTAAACCTCCGGTGTTCCTTTTGTGTGTGATAGTGCTCCAGATTACTGAGTTGAGCCCTCTCCGCTGGCAGAACTAAGTTGTCCGCCATGTACATGTTGATGACTAGAATTGCCTTCCACACACTAAACGATCCATGAACAGCAAGATGCCTGGTGATACCCCAGCCCTTGACACTTGCAGTTTGACTTTGAAAAGAAACAGTACAGCTACAGGTCAGCGAATCCACCTCAGAGTTCTCTTGTCGCCTGTATCCGTGTCTAGCCGCTCTGGACACTGGCGCCTTGACTCTGATTGAGCACTTGTCTGAGCTCCACGACTTGGGCTGATTTTTCCATAATCTACTGCTTTTCCTCTCTTACAAAAATGAATTTTGGTGCTAGGACCTCGGTAGGGTGTGGACAGGGCACTGTAATCTCAACAATGGTGAATATTCAGTTTGCGCACAGCTAGCCGTCAATGGAAACTTATTTTATATTATTATTTTATGGGTAATAATCCCAGTCAGGTTTACCGCGCGCACGCACACACACACATAATTATATACACACGCACACGCACACACACATACATACACACACACCACACACACACATACATACACACACATACATACACACACACACACATACATACACATATTGATCCTTGATCCTTGACCTTGATACACGTTGCCTTGATAGGTTACACACGGTCCCCGTCAGGGGGAAAATGACCGTGCTTCCAGCAGGGCTTTTATGTTTATGTATCTACATGTATGTCATTCGGATCTTCCCAAGTTGTACAATGCACATTGTACTGTTGAGATACCGAATTCAAATAAATCAATACCATACCATACCAGGGCTCGAACCTGCGACATTCGCGTTATTCAGCACGACGCTCTAAGGCCGCGGTCACACCGAGCTCGATTCAGCCGTTCAGCCGAAACAAGCGCTTGTTTACGTCACTATTACCATGGAAATGGCTGAAAAATGTCCTACAAGCGACTTTCAGCCGTGGCTGACTCTCAGCCGTTTTTTTCCGGCTTGTTTCAGCCACAGCTTGTACAAGCGGCTGAAAGCCGAAATTCAAAAAATAATTTGAGTGCGCTTGGAGCTCCGGAGCACACCATGTAGCTAGTTGACATGATGAACTGATATATTGATGTTCTTTCTTGTGTCCGTGGAACCGTGCTATTCCTGTGCCTTTGGTTTTGACCGTGAGTCTGTCTACCCCAACTACACTGTATTCAGTTTGATTTGGATTTTGTCCAACGACCATGGATTTCTGCCGCTGTGCCTCTAGACTGCTGCGTAGATTGTTGGAGCTGTGGTTTGAGGCCAAGACAAGGCACCACACTCACGACCGAATTCATGAAGAAAGCCGGGTACGAAGAAGGGAGTGGTTTGCAACTGAGTTCAATAATGGCAACCGGCGGGGCAGAAAGCTCGACATCAGGAAACACCACCCGAACCATCGCGTCCATGCACACCGAACAAATAAAAAGAGCACGACTTCGCAATTCAGAATCCGGGCTTCCTTCGCTTCTTCATCAAAACTGAACACTAGAACAAGTACAGTTTTAGATCGCGAACGTTCTGCTCTCCAGTTTCTTGCAAACATTGGTGTGTTTCGAGATATTCAAAATTTGGCGGGTAAGAAAAACAAGCCATTCAAGCTTTGCACTCAAGGTCTGGTGTGACCGTGTCACCGGGATCACGCAAGCCAGCTGAGCGCCAGCGATAACAAGCCCAAAGTGGCTTGTTTCGGTGTGACCGGGGCCTAACCGACTGAGCTATGGAAGCTCACACATACACACATACACTACTACTACTACTATGTACAACTGCCACAAAATGGCCACGTCGCTCCCAGAAGCGGGAGACAACAGCGAGAAAAAAGAAACAAGGAGAATAATTGAGGTGAAAGGGGACCGTTCTACACATAGCTTACACACACACACATACACACTCACACCACTACTACTACAATGTACTACAATTGATAGCTGCCAGAATTGGCCACGCCGCTCACAGATGGGAAGTACTGTCAGAGAGGTTTAATTATGGGGGAGGAAGGCAATTCTCCAAGTGGCAATCCAGGTCTTTCCCCCTCCGTAACCTTCGGTTATGACAAACTTGGCAGTGAAACTTGAATTGCTGGCGTTCAGCCACAGTAGGGAGCTTTGGACAGGTTCTAAAGCAAGTCAACGAACACCGTCACCTTGGAATCATACTACAAAACAACCTCCAATGGAACTCACATGTCACGCACATAAGGCCACCCTTTCTTTTTTCGTTGTTTAAAGGGGAAGTTAAGGCAAAAATTAAAATTTCACCAGTTGTAGTCTTCGGGGTGCTGAGTCGAATGGTCTTGGTCCGAGAAAGCTGAGACGCTCCCTTCCTACTTGAATCCCAATCGAACTCGCGCACTTCCACCGAAACTGGGTGACTGCGCCCTACGAGATGGGGATTTGTATGCAAAATGTCACTAAAAGCGCCATTTCGTTCTTATAAAAGCACGGATGACCGCGATTGGCCCATATGTTGTAGTCCTTTGGACGCTGAGTCGACTGGTTTTGGTCCGAAAAGGCTGCGATGCAGCGTTCCTCCTTTATTCCCAATCGAACATGGTTGAAGAAACGGTCACGTGCTCCTGGGTGCCAAAATCACCTGGTCACCACGCCAGCAGGCGACAACTTTCACACCAAGGTTCAACTCGAGTGACAGGACTGCACCCAAAAAAGGTCAAAACAGGAGTGTAAGTTGTACCCTGCAGGCACGGTGACCAGGTGACTGGTGTACGCAGGAGCACGTGACCGCTTGTTCAACCATGTTCGATTGGGAATTAGGGGCGAACGCTGCATCGCAGCCTTTTCGGACCAAAACCAGTCGACTCAGCGTCCAAAAGACTACAACATATGGGCCAATCGCGGTCATCCGTGCTTTTATAAGAACGAAATGGCGCTTTTAGTGACATTTTGCATACAAATCCCCATCTCGTAGGGCGCAGTCACCCAGTTTCGGTGGAAGTGCGCGAGTTCGATTGGGATTCAAGTAGGAAGGGAGCGTCTCAGCTTCCTCGGACCACGACCATTCGACTCAGCACCCCGAAGACTACAACTGGTGAAATTTTAATTTTTGCCTTAACTTCCCCTTTAACGTCCGCGCCCGCGTACCTTTTTGCCTCCGACCGGAAAAAAAAACAAGAAAGTAGTAGTACCAATAATATGCGAAGTTGTAAATACATGATTGTGTAGTTTCACAGTGTGCCGATCATGACCTTAAACTTATAATCTTGCCTCCCGGGCATGCCTTTGTCTTGTGTTCTTTTTCTTTTTTTGTTGGCTTTTAAATATCGTCCGGTGTGTGCCCTAGTAAAAATCCAGATGTAATGAATTCATGACATGCTAACTCCATACTATGTACCTGTTTTGTTGGATTCATCAGGCATGTGCTCCAATGTACCATCAAAGAGTGTTGTTCTATGCCTGCAAGTGCCGTTAGACCCAGAAATATTGTATATATCACATGCTTTACTGGTCAAAATGTTTGATTGGGGTTTCCAGTTTTTGGAATGGGCTTTTGTTTTTTTTCCGCCCTCCCGCGTACCTTTTCGCGAAAAAAAGGACGTTAAACAATGAAATAACAAAGGGTGGCCTAATAAACAAATCCAAAAAACTCCTTCACCAACTTCGTAAAACACGAGGCCAACTTATGGCCGAAAATGTGCCCTTGCAAGGAAAGATTTTTTTGTTGTACGCTGTCCTTTTTTGGCAGTTCTGTATTTGAATGTGAGCAGACCGTGCGCAACTAATACTTGTCGTATCATGGAAACACTCCAAGTCCAAAAATCACGTTTTTTTAGCCACGTATTCGGGGCTGCACGGCGTGCGGTGGGCAAAGCCCGCCGCCGTGCAGCAGGACTTTTGCCAGCAGCCTCATTACGTTGCAGATATGTGGCTTGATTATTGTAGTTGACGTTGATTTAGTGAATTTGGCAAGTTTGAGTCGTGTCAAGAAGTCAGGTAGGATTCAGTACTAAGCACTAGTGGAACGTGAGTGGTAGTCTTTGCGGATATTTGAGGGTATCCTGGATTTGGTTTGCAGCGCTGTGGAAATGGTTTGCTGTGGAGGTCCCAGCACTGGATGTTGTATCAAAGGTACGACCTCGTAGCACGCCCTTACCCTAAAAAATTCAAAATTGACTCGCGTCTGTGGGAGTCCCATGAGAGAACGCCCACTCGTGCCGTTGTGACAGATTACACCCACCCCACGTTGACGGGCCCTATCCCACCACCCATGGGTGCTAGCCATTGGCGGACTATGCTCGGCCAATCGTCAAATTATGCTTTTGATTATGCCACAATTATGCCAACACTATAAATACCGTAAAGTCGCGGATAAAAGCTGGGCTTATAAGCATAATATTATAAGCCGGTTTCTGCATCAGGCTTTAATGCAAACCATGCTTATATGCACTACTGATATTTTTTGCCAGGCTTGTATTCACGTTTACTATGCACTGCACATAGTGCATGCACTCTTGACCTACACGATCCGCGCTTGCACAGAAGCCAGGCTTCTACGCGCGACAGGCTTATTATGCATTTGACCCGTTTGATTTTCAGGCTTCTATCCGCGATGTGCTTGTATGCAAACCCGGCTTTTATCCGCGACTTTACGATATGCTGAATTATGCTCGGTTCAACTATGTATTCACGCTGTACATAGAGGATTGAGAAACCACGCATACACACACGGCCATGCCCTAAGCATAATTTTTGTCTAGACCGAAAGATTATGCCGACCTTACATAATATTATTGGAATCCGTATATTAAGGCGGAGCATAATTTTTTGACGAAATCCCAAGATCATGCCAAATATTAAGCCGGCATAATCCGCCAAGGGCTAATGGCTTCTGGACTTGTTTTAGGTTTGGATCGCGCGCACGGACAGAATGGGCACGAAAATGTGAAAATATTATTGTAAATAACCTACGTGGAGATAATAACTTTAATATAGCTATGAATAGGATGAAGGCCGCAGACATCACGCAACTACGTTACTTGCCTGACATGCATTACTGTGTATTTTATAACAAAAATATTATTGAAAACCCAGAATCGATTTTCTCGTTCATATCATCAGTGGGAAAAAAACGGAACTAAGGATACAAGCAAAGAAACTGAAGTTAAGTACTGTAAATAGAAAGGTGTTAGAAATAACATCAAGATACAAGTGCAATAAGACCACTAGAGGAAACGCAAAAAAGGTAACAAGATTACATAACCAAAGGCGAGAAGGCACTGAACGAAGTGACTTCGTAAGAAGTCAGCTGTGTATCTACACTTGTTATCTCGTCCTGACTGTCTTGGTGTGTATGATGACTCTCATTTTTCTGTACTGTGTCGTGCGCGTTATGTCCAACAGTTGAAAGTCCTAGAGGCAGTTTGTATACGTATTCATAAGCCTGTTTTGTGTAAGCAGAAAGAGCACATTGTTGCACTGAAGTTGTATTCGTAGGTTGACACTTCGTTCAGTGCCTTCTCGCCTTTGGTTATGTAATCTTGTTACTTTTTTTTTTGCGTTTCCTCTAGTGGTCTTATTGCACTTGTATCTTGATGCAATTTCTAACACCTTTCTATTTACAGTACTTAACTTCAGTTTCTTTGATTGTATCCTTAGTTCCGTTTTTTCCTACCGATGATAGGAACGAGAAAATCGATTCTGGGTTTTCCATAATATTTCTGTTATAAAATACACAGTAATGCATGTCAGGCAAGTAACGTAGTTGCGTGATGTCTGCGGCCTTCATCCTATTCATAGCTATATTAAAGATATTATTGTAAATGCATTTTTTTGTCTCGTGGGTGGCTCGCACACCGTGTCACTATGCTGGAATTTTGAGTTTTTCCGGCGTGGAAAGCCTGTCAGTGAGGCGCAAGAACTTTTAAATCATGTCCAGAGGGCCAGCATAGTGGCAGGAGTGTGTGGTGAAATTTGTTTGCAGATGATACCACTGTCCTCGCTTCCTCCCCATCTCACGCTACCCTGTACCCCAAAGTTCAGACCTGTATCAACGACATTGTTCACTGGATGAGC